CAGGAGTTGGAGGTTGCTGTGAGCGTGATGCCATGGCACTCTACCCAGGGGGATAGCTTGAGGCTCCGTCTCAAAAAAAAAAAAAAAAAAAATTATCTTTTAACAGAGAGAAAGTGATAGGTACAGAAGAAAACAGGTGAGGGAGATTCAGTGTATATACATAATTGGAATCTACAAGGAAGAAAATGGAAAGAGCAAGTTAGGGTAAATATTTAAAAATATAATTTAAGAAAGGTTTCCTGAAACAAATATTTTAATCTACATATTGAGAGAGCACACTGTATTTCAGAGAAAATTCTTGCAGAATGTCAATAGTGAAACATAGCCTAGAAAATGATTAGACTTTAAAGCTGAAGAAAGAATCTTTCACAGTCAGGCAAAAATATTTACTTGAGGAAAATAAAATCAAGCTGGCCTCACACTTCTTCACATTAACATTCAAAGTCAGAAGACCGTGGAATAACATCCACAAGAAATTCAATAAAAGAAAATGTAGGAGTAACAGCTTCCTTACAACCGGGCACAGTGAGTCTGGGAAGAGGAGACTTCAGCCATCTCTGGCTGGTGAGATCTGCCCGAAAACATCCCTTTGGAGACACAAGGAGTCAGAGAGGGATTTTTGGACTCCATGAGAAGGACAAAAGCAGTGGAGAACTGGCAAGTGTTTGCGTGTATTCGTTCAATATAATCCTGCCGGCAGCTGTTAAGTACAGCAGCAGTGAAATTGCAAACTGGAAAGGCCTTACCTGTGAGCTGTTTGGGGTTTTTTGGACTTGGCACTCAGTTGAACTACCTTGGGAGAACTTGGGCAAGAAAGCGGAGGACTTTAAGTATTGTCTAGGGCCCTAGACTGAGCCACTGAGCCAGACAGACCTAATAGTGTTTGGTTGTGGACCATGTGGAGCCATTGTGGGAGAACTGCCCTGGCAAGTTCTGCCCTCAGGGCCTCAGAGCAAGGGTCCAATGGAGCGGAGTAATCTAGTGACTGAGCAGCCTAAAGGTGGGGACTGAGACGCCTTACAGCCTTGGCCCTCAGGGGCATAGTGTGAGATTGGTTTTGGCACACTGGGTAAGTGGACAGCCACTTCAGGAGTGATCCCAGCGACAAGTGCTTTCCTGGGAAAGCTTCTGCTTAGCCCAGGTTGGCAGTGTAAAGTGCCTTTTAAGTGGACTGAGAAGAGATTTAGGCTCTCCACCCTGCAGGGTTTAAGAAACCAGCAGAGGCCTCCAGTCTCCATCTCATACGGCCGTATCAGCATTGTGATTAACATCTCATACCCCAGAAGATCACCTGTTGCCCAGACAATATTCAGCAAGATATGTATACCGCTTTGTTTTCTTGTTTGTTTGTTTACTTTCTTTTCTTTCTTTTTTTATTTTTTGAGACAGAAGCCTCAAGCTGTCCCCCTGGGTACAGTGCGGTGGCATCACAGCTCACAGCAACCTCTAACTCCTGGGTTCAAATGAGTCTCCTGCCTCAGCCTCCCAAGTAGCTGGGACCACAGGCGCCCACCACAATGCTATTTTTTGGTTGGAGCCATCATTGTTGTTTGGCGGGCCTGGGCTGGATTCGAACCCACCACCTTGAGTGGACATGGCTGGTACCTTAGCCACTTGAGCCACACATGCTGAGACTATTTGTTTACTTTCAACATTTTCCCTGTAGATTTTTCTTTTCTTTTTCTTTCTTTTTTTCTTCATTTTTCTAGTTTAAATATAATTTTCCATTGTTGCCCTTTTTAACAATTAGAACTTCATTTATGCTAGTGTTTCTACCCCTATTATTTGGTTTTTTTGCCCAATTTTATCCTGTAAAGTTTTCTGTTTACTTGTTTTGGTTTGATTTATAGCATTTTTGTCTTACCTCTCTACTTGGTGGAGGTCAGGTACTGTGTCCAAACAGGCTAGCAAAGAGCTACTGACCTCAAGGGAACCACCCAACTCAGCACCCTCAGAAGTTGGGGGTTTTTAAGGTTGGGTCAAAGTACCCTACTGTACACCTATATTGCTCCTGTCTCCCTCTTTCTGTGCCTCTCTTCTTTTTGTTAATATTCCCTTTTACCCACCCTCACTTCTTTCTCTTTTTTCTTTCTTCCCCCCCCTTTATTTTTTCTCTTCCTGCTCTTCAATCT